GCTTGAGCACCTTAACATTGACGAAACTAGTCATTCTGAGGAAGATTTGAATTATGTTCGAGACATCGTCAAGCAAGCACTACCTAAACTCGTAATTTTCGTGGGCCAGGGATTCTTCCCTTCGGAAGATCTAGATTTTTTCAGGCACTTTGATGACGACGATGATGACGATGATGACAACGATGATGATGACGATGATGACGATGGTTAGCATTTCTAGAACGGTTTGATACAATGTGATTTGCAGACTGTTTTTCTCTGTGATCCTAGACCACCCCCATGAGATAATTTTCATAGCAGCTTTTCTAAATTTAAATTTTTAGCTAAAAACATGAAAGCGGCTTTTATTAACAAAGTTGAGCTAGTTTTGTCTCTTATATATGGGCGACGGACTTAGATTCCTCCCAGGAATAGATGTTTCCGTAATGTGGCAAAGTCTTATCTGATATATCGTGCATTACTGGGACGATAGGTCTTTCCGCTGGGAACCGTATTTCAGTTGAACGGACACTTGAACTGCACTAAGCAGGGAACTTTTCTTAATTCCGGATTAAAGACTCAGAAAATCACCACGTGGCTTGTGGAAACGATCTACTTCACTAGAGGCTTCTACAGACATAAGGATGAGACAGGACTCGGTTCGAACAGTGATTATTCAAACTTCGTTTGTAATCGTCAGTGTAATCATGGCAATATGAAATCGACGAATAATTATAGAAAGACAACTCAAGCAAAATTANGGTGAAAGGAACAAGGAACAATAACTGAGTCCCAGTTCACACTACACCAGAGAAATTTGAAAAGGCATCTTTATTTCTACGGTTTGGCCTACGGTCCACACGTCACTAATCCGTCACGAAAACGGGGCTTTTCGCATTGAGACCTCCGTTGTCAAATTTCCCCCGCGTAGTGTGAACGGGGCCTAAGGAAGGGCTAAAGTTCCATTTTAGTCGTTTACGGTACTTGTCTACCATCAGCCTGCCTTCTCTCCAATTTTGTCCCGTCTACAGGCTAGCTTGACTAGTTTTTGTCACGCAATAATGTTGTTGTGTGTTGTCCAACAGTCTTTTTTTTCAATCCCGCATCCCGCTACTATTTTTGGCTCAATCCCGCCATCCCGCCCCACTCAGAATGTTTATTCCGCCAGGTTAGGTTCGCAGTTCTCCAGGTAAAGTCTGTAACGTGTGATTTTCCGTTTTTAATCCCGCAGTCCGTCGTCTAGTTTAAAACTATCCCGCATCCCGTCTGTCACTGAAAATGAGCAGATCCCGCTCCCGACGAAATAATTTGATCCCGCCGTTATAAGTCATGTCGTCCCTGCCGGTATCCCGCCTCACTTTCGCTCTAATCCTGCCAAACGTATGTTGGACCCTCATAGTTTACTGGAGGATTCGTGAACTGTCAAGAGAGCAATATGATATGCTCCGGTAGGCACACAGAGAGTTTATAAATACAATGCTTAATCGTCAATTCGCGAGTGGGTTATTTTTAAACAAGCCATCATCGTCTCTTGTTTTAAAACA